TAACGGATATGCAAATGAGCCAGGACATAATACAATATCAAAGCACGGCAACGCCCCTTCTTCAAATGCAATCCAACAATAGATCTTTTAATAAACTTTTTCTTTTTTCTTTTCCAAGCAATCACACTATCCCATCACACTTCAACCTACCACGTGTGAACGGACGTGGGTGAGGAGAGGGAGAGGGAGAGGGAGAGAGAGAGAGAGAGAGAGAGAGAGAGAGAGAGAGAGAGAGAGAGAGAGAGAGAGAGAGAGAGAGAGAGAGAGAGAGAGAGAGAGAGAGGAGAGAGAGAGAGAGAGAGAGAGAGAAAGAGAGGAGAGAGAGAGAGAGAGAGAGAAAGAAAGAAAGAAAGAAAGAAGAAGAGAGAGAGAGAGAGAGAGAGAGAGAGAGAGAGAGAGAGAGAGAGAGAGAGAGAGAGAGAGAGAGAGAGAGAAGAGAGAGAGAAAGAGAGAGAAAGAGAAAGAGAGAAAGAGAGAAAGAGAGACAGAAACAGAAAGACAGACAGCCAGACAGCCAAAGACAGGAGGACCCCCAAAACACCACCAAGGATGAACCAGTGCACCCCCGAAGTCGCTCTCCTAACGGTCAGCCTCCTCGCTAAGCCGCTCGGGACACCTTCCTTTAAAACCCCGTGCTATTCTCTTTTGGGAGCGGGGCAAAAACTGGGCCCCTCGATTGTGGCGGTCGCGAAGTCCATCGCCGCGGCTCAGGGACTATTTTGCTATGGCTAGTGTCGCTAGATCTGGATTCTAGTCGTGATCTGCATTTTCGTTATATCTGAACTTGTTATCTCTGCTATTTTTTTTTTTTCTTCTTTAATTCTTGTTATATCTGTCTGCTTTGTTATATCCGACTTGTTTACCATTGCCTGGTCTGTTATATCTAGACTTTATCACCTTTACATCTCGCATTATGTAAGCTTGAATTTATTCGTCACATCTCCATGCACATTTGTATAATTTCTGATTTCGGTGACTAACCAAACCAATTATTTTGGTTATTTATTCTTAGCATTGCCTTAGTTTCGTTATATATCTTCATTCTCCTTCTTTTTCCTTTACATCTTCCCTTTCTATTTATCCCTTTATCCCCGCGACCCTTGTTCCACCCCACTTCTCTCTCCCTTCCCCCTTCCTTTCTTTCTATTCCTGAATCATCCCTCTTCCGTTCTCCCTTCTCCTTCTCTCTATCCCTCCGTTCCTTCTCGTTTCTTCTCCTCTCTCTCTCTCTTCTCCTCCCCTCCCTTATCTCTCCTTCTTATCCCCTTGACCTCTCTCCGCTTCCTCTTATCCTCTTGAACCTCCTCTCCCCCCGCCCCGCCCCCCCTCCCACCCCAGCTCCTCCATCAACCCGTGTCATGCGAACCGCGCCCGCTCCCTGCCATTGTCCCGCCCGCCCTTCGCGTTTGACGCCCATGACATTTGCCATTTTTGTGCGTGCGCGGGCGACGGGTTCTGGGCGTGGGCGTAGGCGAGGTGTGCGCAGGTCCCCGAGCCGCCCATCCTGACCTTCCTCCCCCCCCCTTTCCCTCCCCCCTCTACCCGCCACCCCCGGCCGGACACCAAAACCTCCCGACGTCAGCGCTCCCAGCCCCCCGTCAGGAAGGTCCTCGCCGCCGCCGCCGCCGCTCCCGCCCGCCCTGCCCTTCTGACCCAAGGGCACGCCGGCCCTCCACCAGCGCCCTGCCCGGCTTCTCCTTATAAGGCGCTGGCCAATCAATGCGCGCGTCATACCTGTAACCTATAACTGTATCGTTTACTGTTTGTTCTGATTTGGATAAATCATCATATACTTTTTTTTTTTTTTTTTTTTTTTTTTTTTTTTTGTGTGTGTGTGTGTGTGTGGTGTGTGTGTGTGTTGTGGTGTGTGTGTGGTGTGTGTGTGTGTGTGGTGTGTGTGTGTGTGTGTGTGTGTGTGTGTGTGTGTTGATGATTGAGTTTGATTTGCACATGCTTGTTTGTCGCGTCGCCGGGTCTGGTCTTGTGTTTGTTTGTTTGTTTGATGTAACATCTGTGCGCTCTCTTATTTTCTTTCTCCTCTCTCCCTCTCCTCTCTCTCTCTCTCTCTCTCCCTCTCTCCCTCTCTCCCTCTCTCCCTCTCTCCCTCCTCCCTCCCTCCCTCCCTCCCTCCCTCCCTCCCTCCCTCTCCTCTTCCTCCTCTCCCTCTCTCTCCCTCTCTCTCTCCCTCTCCTCTCCTCTCCTCTCCCTCTCCCTCTCCCTCTCCCTCTCCTCTCCTCCTCTCCCTCTCCCCTCCTCTCCCTCTCCCTCCCTCTCCTCCCTCTCCCTATCCCTCCCTCTCCCTATCCCTCCTCTCCTATCCCTCCTCTCCCTATCCCTCCTCTCCCTATCCCTCCTCTCCCTCTCCCTCCCTCTCCCTCTCCTCCCTCTCCCTCCCTCTCCCTCTCCCTCCTCTCCTCCCTCTCTCCTCTCCCTCCTCCCTCCCTCTCCCTCTCCCTCTCCCTCTCTCTCCTCTCTCTCTCTCTCTCTCTCTCTCTCTCTC